TCGACGAGGAGAAAAGGAAAGGCGGTGGAGGTGAAGGTGGAGAGGACACCAACCAGAGTGTGCTGTGATCTGGACAGAGACTCCAGGATCTCATCCACGATGCGATCAGAGAGAAACGAGGCAACGGCGAGTTTCACTTCACTGTCACACACGGGCGACATAAGACACGTGTTACACATGTGCCCGGGATATTAAGATCAAAAGGTATTAAAAGATTTTACAATGTGCTGAGGATGAGAAGCTCTTCAAGTATTTTTAAGGAGCTTCGTTTGCATTTCAGACCTGATCTTATTGATGATGTCGACCCCGGACTGCTCCAGCAGCGTGGTGGTGACGAAGCTGCGAGGAATGGTCATCCTCCCCGCGCTGGCCTTCAGCAGCTCCTGGCGAAGGCTGCTCTTCTTCATCACATTAGGACACAGGGCCTCTGCAGCATCCACCATGGACCTCAGCATCGTCTGAGGCGAGTTAGCAGAGTTTAAGGCTCGAATTGCTTTCCCCTCAGCCGAGATCAGAGCCACGTTTCAGGGGTAAAAATGGCCGTTCTTACCTGCAGCTGGTCGTCCATCACTGCAGCGATCTCTCCAGCCATCGACTGCAGTTTATCCTGAATAGCTCCGACACACGTACCCGTGGAGCCTGCGCTCTTCAGGTGGTACAGGTTGGGAAGCAGCTGTGATAAAAAGTAAAGGATGAGTGAGGAGCATCTGGGTTGGTCTCCACGCCGCACACAGGCTGTGTGTTCGTGTTGGTGGGTTTGAGGCGAGCTTCTTACGGTTTTGGAGTTTCTGGCATCCCTCATCAGGTTCTCGGCCACTTTCATGTCCTCCTGAACGGCGCTGGTCTCTGTGAACCTCAGCGAGTTCAGATGATCCTGCACCCTCACACACATCATGTCCATCATCTGCATCACAGAGGTCAAAGGTCAGACAACACTGCATGCAGTATTTTGAATACTTTGATTAATTATTTAAAGTCCCTTTGATCTGTAACCAACAATTAAATAAAAGTCAGTACAGAGCAGAGATGGCACGATACACATAGTGCCTTCTCTTAGAGCCATTGGGGGGTTTTACGGTGGGAGGTGCTTGTGTTGTGTTGTGTAAACTGTAACTATCATGGGAATAAATAGCTGCGAGGAGGACTACTCTTTGAAGGATTTGGGCTGGAGACAGGTGATGAGCATTAAGCTCCACCCCCTGGTTCTGACCAAGGCTTCCCTCGTTAGCGAGTTAAAGACCGGTTGAAGATGTTCTGTTATGTCTCGTGTTCTTCATGAGGAATACGTCTCTAAACTAGCGGGGCCTGTGGGAGCACAGAGTCAACAAAAACTGTTTTTATAAATATCTTGCTGCATTTTGTATAAGTTCATACTCAAGTTTTAAAAAACAAGAGACTGAAGCTGTTCTGTTAAACCTGTAT